CAGTTGTATTCTAAGATTTGTCCAGCTTTGCTTGGACATTTTTGTTCAAAAAGTTCATTTATATATGGTTTTTGATGCTCTTTTTTTTTATAAGGTTATCTTAGCAGCACAACAGTTTCATATGTTAACAGATTTTACATTGTTACAGTCACTTCACTTGCTGTATCGGTATATTGTTTATCTGCAATTCATGTAGCAGTTGTTTGTTCCTTCTGAAATCAATTAGGACTTCTTTAGTTTTTAAGACATTCAGTTCTAACAATTTTGTAGCAATAAAAAAAAAAAAAGTACATCTACAAAAACAATTAGCTACCTGACTGGTAATTTATTTGCTTCTTGCTAATGTTTCAAATATCCAATACTTTTTTTTTTTTTTGATAATTTTCCTCATAAGAAAAAAATGACAACATGCATTATTTGAGTTTCAACTTTGTTTTTAATTAAATGCCTAGGGGAATTAATTTTTGTCTGAATATTTTAACTAGACTATCTCTCAACAATTTTTGGATAAACAATAGAAAAAAATGTATTGATGATATGATGTGTTAAAAGAGGTAATTACTTGGTGCAATTAGGTTATGTTGCCATTACCCATAATCACCCCATTCTTCAAATATCTGTTTTTTGGTTTATTCTGGTGTTGAAACATATTAAAAATATAATTACCTACATAAATCAGTACATAAATATTTACACTGACTGAATTTATGTGTTTCTTACATATATGACCTTGTTGTCATCCACTTCAGTCTGCACCCTTGCATTCCTTCCTTCCAAAGTGATGCCACTGGGTTACAATCAAGTCCTGTTAATTTTATGTCTGTAGTTTAACAAGTGACCACTTGACTTATTACCTTAACATAACTAATTATTGCAATTATTTGTTTCCCCTTTTAATGGAATATCTGTCATTTCTAAGATTTGAAACAAATTTCTATTTTATGTTTTTCACTTTGTTATTAATTAAGCTGTTTTTTGTTTTTTTATGCTTGGAAAATTAAATCATTTGTAGGAAACCTTTCTAGAATATCTTTTTTTTTTTTTAAATCAACCTTTCTTTTTATCTTTCTTCTTTTGTTCTTTGTTGTTTCTTTCAGAAATGTTTTAATTGCACCACATCCAGAGAACTTGAATGAGGAAGTTATATTCCCTGGCCTTTCTGAGACAGAAATTGTTGATAGAACACTGCTGCAGAGAGAGCTGGTTATAGTAGTTATTGCTATTAAAAGAGCCAGAGATATTTTAATGGATGACTTTGGGCCAGATATATTGGACAGAGATTTATGAGCTATTTGACTTGTGAAAAGTTTAAATCAAAATAATGTTCCATTTTTAGTATCTAACATATTTAGTGGATTGTAGGGAACACTAAATGTATCATTATTTATTTGTATACTGACTTGAACAAATTGTGACTTTTATATTTACACTACAAACTTTAATTGAATCTCTCCCCTACACAAATGTTAGTTATGTTTAATTTCAATAATTATTTGTTTAGAGGCTTTGGAAAAGGGCATCATGCTGTACCATATAAGGTGCTACTCTTTTCCATGATATATGAGGTGTCTTAATAGTTGAACAGACTAAGGGATGAATGAAAGTGAATTGTTTTGGTCTCAACTGCTAAAGTTTGGTTTTGAAATTAGTGAATCAAATTTTGAATTCTAGCATATTTTTTACCTTATGAATTACAATAATTAGTTTTATGATTTGTGTACAATTTGGTTCTATGAAATCAGTCAATTGATTATTTGCTTTGGCACAAAGTTGTTTCACCTTGATGTGATAACTCACTAGGAATTATTTCCTAAGTTGTTCTTTTTTTGTGTGTTTTTTTTATTGCTTCATTTCCATTTTAGATGATCGTTATATTGAGATTCAATCTTTGAACTTCCAAGACAAACACATTTTATACTACAGCATTTGTATATAGTGGTGCAGTACTTTGTATATAGTGGTGCATTAATATGTATATAGTGATACAGTACTTTTATATAGTAGTACTGAGACAGTACTTTGTATACTATTGTAAATATATTTGACGAGTGGTTGTGTACTTTGACCTAATTCTTTTTTTTTCCTGCTCCAACTTTGATCTTTTATTGTTGTTTTTTTTTTAAGTTACAATTACATTCAATGTGGTGTGCTTAAGCCTCTGGGTGTCGGAACACACATTCCCATTTGAGCCCCTCCCCATATATATATATTCTGACACTATGATGCCCCATTCAAATTGTGTCATTCTTTCTTCCCTTATAACTCACACTAGAACATTATTGGTCTTTGGATTTAATGAAGGAAATGCAACTTGTTCACTTGCTGTTGTAGGTTTACTTCTTAATGTTTGTTGCAGGGAAGAGATTAAAAACTTTTAAAATCAAATGTGGACTACGAAATAAATTGTCTTCAACTCTGAAGGAACATCCAAAACATTTTAACTATTTTAGAAACATTTTATAAATAATGCTATTATTGATATTTTCCTTGATTGCTGCTAACCTTTCTTCATCATTAGTCAAACCAGTATGAAATAAACTATTATAAAAACTTGTTGATTGTGGCTTATAAACTCTATGTATTTCTACTTGAAATCAAAATATTTCATTTGTTTGAATCAGTTCAAAAGAAGCATTTAAGACATGCTGCTCTATCTATTCAGTGTACTAACAAGAACTTACCCAAACTTTCATTAAATATCACATTAACTAAAATGTCATTGACAGATTTCAACATATATCAATCATGAGCAGTCTTCAGTCTTAGTGGCAATGGCAATGTCTAGGATCCAAAAGATTAAGGATGAGTGCAGTGTTTCATATGGTAATCCAAACCCAGATGTGACTTGCACATTTTTCCACATCTGAATTAAGTTTTCTTTGCATCTTCTGCACCTCAGAAAAACTTAAGTCATGTTTCAGAAGTTGCCCAATAAAATCTACTCAGCCCCAAAAATCACCCCTCAACATGGTAAACCACTTTACATTTCTTTTAATCACAGCATTCAATGATGCTTCACTTTCAAGAGAAGTTATAACCATCTTGCTAAGGCAAGCAGCATTTTAGATACCTCCAAGCAAGAGCGGAATAAATCCTACCTAGAACAGTGTCTACCTAGCAGTGGTTCTCTCCACACTTTTGTATGGCACTGATACCTGGGTGCTCTATTGAAGGCATCTGAGGCTCCTTGAAAAAGCTTCAGTCAAAGGTACCTCAGCACCGTTTGCTGGCAGGACTACCTTACAAATAACCATCTTCTGCTAGGGGCTTTTGTGGGCAGTATAGAAGCACTATTTACCATTCAACATCTGTGCTGGGTAGAACAATATTCCACATGAGGAACACCTCACTACACCATTTTTTTTTTTAATTTTCTACAAAGTTTATTTATATTTATTTTTTGTCTCTGGTTAAGCCAAATTGTAAAAAAAAAAAAAATCCCAGTTATATACCCAAGGGTATATAAGCAAGGCTTTGTTCCAATAAAACATAAAATAGAGTTAACTCATACAATAGCACAGTCATTGTCTGCATCACATGTGAAAAAAATATAAGCTACTGGGTTTAAATAGATATGTGAAAGCAACTGGGTTTATATAGTTATGTAAAAGCAACTGGGTTTATATAGTTATGTGAAAGCAACTGGGTTTATATAGTTATGTGAAAGCAACTGGGTTTATATAGTTATGTGAAACACTGTACTTACCCTTAACCTTTTGAATCAAACTATCTTTTGTTCTTTTGCATCAAATTAAATAATTAAACTTTTATCTTTACAGTTAAGAAAATTGTTATTACTGTTTCTTTTTATATATAAAATTGAATTCCTTGCTCAGTCAAGTGAACTAAACATGATGTGAAAGTGTCCTTAGTATTAGTTAAAGTAGAATTTGTTCATATTTCATGTAATGTTTCTCTTTTTCTAAATAACATTGTATTGATATAATATATCATAGAAGAAATGTTATAGAGATCTGAATTTTTTTAATACTATACGTATATTTATAAAAACATAAATTCATATTGTTTGTCTATTAAAAAATAAATATTCAGTATATTATTGAAAGTTTGGATTGTATTTGAATTTCCAAGTCTAAGATGTAGTTCTGTTAACATTTGAAAATGTATTTTACTGTACTTTTATCTATTTATTTATTTTTAATTCTCTAAGTTAATATAAATACAGATTTATTTCAGCATTAGCCCAACAGAACTTTATTTTAAAATGTAGTTTATTTATATGTCTCTTCTTTAGATCAAACACTTAAGTTTTCAGTAGTAAAATGCTCCAATTATCTTTTTTATAACTTGTTCAGATCATCTTGATAAATTAAGAGTGGTTTATTGTAACTCAGTCTTAGGTAACTACCAGTTGAAGTGACATCATGTACAAGTCTTTAAAAGGGCTCTGGACTGACATCTTCCCCTGCAGGAAGTTTTGGCTGGGATGTAATCTTTATTTCAGAAACTTTAAAAGTCATCTCAAGGCAAACAATATCCTAAGATTCTATGATTATTGCATTTGGTGTAGAGATTCTTGCCAAACCTGAGAGTTAGGCTCAAAGAAGTTGAGTTTACATGATTGTGAAACTCAACAGAAAGCTTCATATCTCATGACTCATAACATACTGGCAATGGAAGATCTTTCTGTTAATCATTGAGTCTTACAAGAAGTCTAACTTTTTGACTGCCATCTTGTGTCTCCAATTTTCTGTATTTATTTACAGAAGTTTGGTTCATTTCGATCTAGATTGATGACATAATCTGCCGGGTTTTGTTAGGCAATTCTTTTTTTTTTTGCTTATATATATATATATATATATATATATATGAGCACTCACCTATACAAAAAAGAAAGTAAAATGAAATAATCATTTGTTTTAGTCTGACTTTGTTGTATGTATTCATTCATGTAATGGTGCTCTACATAAATCCGAAATGTTAAAGTCTTTACAAACTCCAGCCTGTATGTGGTTCTGTTAAAGTCTTTGACTCTACAAACTCCAGCCTGTATGTGGTTCTGTCCTACTTTTGTTTCAAATAATTACTGTCAAAATTGAAATTGTTTCTGTGATTTCTGATCCTTGTTTTATATTTGTCTATTTTTTTTATTTTTAAGAAACCAGTGAGTAGCTAATGTAGACAATGATTTGATTGAGTTGATGTGAGTTCATTTGACTATTAAAGTTTTAATTTATTGATTTAAGTTATTTTTGTTTTATTTAAATGATTCGTCATTTTTTTTTCAAATTTCTAAATAAGGTGATCAGAATTGATTGCTCTGAACAGCCTATGTTTGAAGTGTTTTAACCCAAGCTCTAGGTTGTTCTTGATTTGTCTTAAAGCAAACAGTATACCCTACATGGTTTATAATAGAGTTCATTATATCAATGGATTCAGGATTTTCTAATGGGAAGAGAACAATAATAAATGGCTCCAAATCGACACCAATAATAGTTAACTCGGGTGTATGGCCCACTACTGTTTCTAATTTACATAAATGATCTACCAAATTGTATTAGTTCAGGAACAAAAGTCAGATTATTAGCAGACAATTGTGTAATATATAGAGCAATAAAAACAACACAAGATACTGAAATTTTATAAAAAGAATTACAGAAATTGGAATTGAATTGGAGCATGTCTTTCCACCCAGAAAATTCCCACTATTAAGAGTAACAAAAAAACTAAAACAAATAAAACTACTTACTTTATTCACGGAAACCAAACCATTTACACAGACTAAAACTAAAAAAATATAGGTGTAATAATAAATGAAAAGTCACTATTATTAAACAATGCAGCAGAACATTAGGGCTCATTAAAAGACATTTTTACAAATCAAACAAGAACATAAAACTAAAATGCTATTTAACTTTACTCAGGCCAATATTAGAATATGTCATCCTCTATTTAGGATCCCTCAACTCAAGAAAACATATAGAAACTAGATCTAGAACAAATACAAAATAGAGCAGTGAAATTTATAAAAAAACTAATTTTCTAATTTGATTAAGTAACACCATTAGTAAAATCACTAAACTTAGAGACACTTGATGGACAGAAGACTAAAAAGTAAAGTAGTTATAATACTTAAAACAATAAACCATAATTTACAAATAGAAAAACAAAACCTAATAAAATACTCACAAAGACAGAGGCACATTTCTTATTCCTTATGCTAGAACTAATTCATACAAGTTCTTCTTCCTAGTGCCATTAGAGAATGGAATGGGTTGCCTGAATTAGCCAGGAAAACCAACGACTAGCAGAGTTTAAGTTATTTATTAAAATACATGGCTAGATTGACACATGAATTATCTCTTTTTTAAATTAACGACTGTAATTTATAAGATAAGATAGTCATGGCTCTTGTACAAAACACTGCTCTTTTACTGGAGTCTCAGCATGTATAGTAATAGGCCCTACTGGAGTCACTTCTTGTACTGGAGAGACTGCTTAAGTACTGGAGTTTTTGCTTAAACAAAAACTAGAAAAGATATTAAAAATCTGATTTATATTTTGCAGCTTCCAAATTTCAGATGCAACTAACCCTAACCCTTGAACGAGAGATTGCTTCTTCACTTACTATAAATTTGATGATTACTTAATATCAACTTTAGGTCAGGGTCACACTGGGCCATATCTTCATATGTGTGGCTGAGAGGCTTAAACTGCTTGGCTACCTACCAAGGGGGGTTCAACACCCGACTCGAACAGAGTTGGGTAGAGTTGTAGATCTATATTCTGAGTATCACGGGAAAAAAACCACTGGTCCTCAACGTAGACGTCGCGCTTTGCATGCTATAAGCAAGAAAAATAAGCTCAGTAAAATATATAAGACAATTGAATACAAAATACGATGTAATAATAAAAAAAAGATTAATAATAAAGATTCTCCCATTCCCAGTGTAGCATGCCGTCAGGCGACATAACAATCATATTAGCAACACTTTCGACACTCACATGTCTATTCACACGTCTATTCTGTACGGACGAAGATAAAGTTGTTTGTTACTAGAACTTTGTAGCTTCTGAAATTCGCACTGAAAATATTGAGACCTTCCTAAAAACCTGCCTGGCTGGACCACTTCGGGGCTGCTTCTGGGCCACCCTGGACCACTTCGGGGCTGCTTCTGGGCCACTTCTGGACCACTTCGGGCTGCTTCTGGACCACTTCGGGACCCTGGCTGGACCAGCTTTTTGTTTTCACACAAATTTGTAATTTTGTGTTCATCGACTCTTCATATGTAGGCTAACCGAAAGAAAGACTTTTGTTATATTTTTTTTATTATTTTAAGGAATTGAACAGAATGGAACGTCGATTTTTTTTTTAATTTTTAAAAAGTTTAATCCTATAACAATAACTGTGGCTATGTTAGCTCATCTTTACAGAACATTTACTATAGTAGGAGTGCTATTTTGATCAACTTTTCATCCATTCCTATAATAAGCTAGTTAGTTCGTAATGATTCAGGCTTTGAGCCACAACAGTTTTGGAGGAGGGAAGACGGAGGTAGACACGTAAGCAGAATACAGCGCTGTCGGCGTTTTGTCATTGTCTAGAGATTAATGGGTCAGGTACAGACATCTCCCTGGAGTACATTCACGGGCTGTTGCTTTCTTTAAAAAAAATTCAGTTTGTTTGATAGGTCGACGTCACACACAGGTAAGAATTTGTTGTTGTTTTTTTTATTAATCTGGGGATTGTAAGAATTAACTAGAACTGAATTATAAACCCTTTTTTTTTCTGAACAAGTCATTGGTTGTCAGTGTCACTCAATGGAATAAGTAAAGTTCCCCTTTCAGACCTTGCGATCTATAAAGCAAATGATGTAAAGATTATTTCTTTCTATGGCCCACGGTTGACGAGGGTGTTATGTAACAAGCACAACGACCAACCGCCTTTACCTTTCCTCAACTAATGCCAGGTAGCCATTGCAGCTGGGTGGACTCAGAGGCGTCAAAGATCCCGAAATTAAACATCCCAGTCTTCAATTAATGGAAGAACCAAAATCAGTGATGCCCAAAATACGGGCCACATCCGGCCCTCACATTTGGCCGGTCCGCCGAAACGTAGGCACAAAGTGTAGAAAAATCCCCTCACCACAAAAATAAGTTAATAAACAATTTTTTCCTACGTTAGGGTAATGGATTGGTTCCGGCAATAAGCCAATAAATTTGTTTTACAAATAAAGAGTTACTTTTTAAAGAACAAACATTTAAATATCTATATGAAATCAAACATAAATAAATAAGGCGGCATTCTTGGTTTGAGACGCGATTGTAATATTTCACCTATAGTGAAGGATTTATGAGAATATAAATTACCAAAAAGAGATAAGAAATTTAATCGGCTGTAAGATTAGCTACAGAGTTGTTCACATTGTAAGTAAGGACATGTTGCGATTTCCGACGGTGAACGCATAAAAAAAAGTGCTTGCTAGCAATTATGGAAGAAATGTGTCGTGAAAAGAAGAATACTGTTGTAACTGTCAACCTTTCTCGTGACAGTTACAAGAAGAGAGAAACGCATGGGTAAATATCTACTTTCAAAACTACCAGTCAAACCAGAATTTGGAAATGTTTTCTATTCCGCATACGTGTCTACCAATATATCTGATACAGTTCATAATCCTGGTATAATCGAGATACAAACAGTAGTTTTGAAATCAGAGACGCTAATGGATATGAGGATTATGCATGGGGAACCTCAGGCGAAGTCCTGTTCAAGATGTTTCAACCATCACAGAGGATTTCTCTTTTCTGGGAGAAATAAGTGTAGTTTCGGAATCTTTGGGCGCCTTTGAGTCCACTCAACTCTAATTGGTACCCGACATTAGTTGGGGAAGAGTAAAGGCGGTTGATCGTTGTGCTGGCCACATGACACCCTCCTTAACCGTGGGCCACAGAAACAGATGACTTTTACATCATCTGCCCTATAGACCATAAAGCCTGAAAGGAACTTTACTTGTTTTACTTACTAATGATGGTGCCACAGGTATGGTTAACAGCAAGAGTTATTAGAAAAGTTTTCTAGTGGAATGGAACCGAGCCTCTGTGGCTTCATTGAATTATTCACCAACAAAATCTATGTGGCCAGGTGTTCAGGCTGGACCATGTGATGATGATCGTGTTCAGATTGAACAATGTTCGTCGTTTCCAAGAGCTGAAACTGGAACTTATTGACTTACAAAGCTAAATATTCCTGCTTGACAAATTGCAGGTGATACAGACAACTGACTTCTACTCTGTGTTGCTTGCAGAAACTTTTCTAAATCTCCAAAATAATCGTTAAAAACAATTGGAATCACTTATTGGTGAGGTTTTCAGTGGTGAATCGTGCGAAACCCGTATTACATAATCATCTTACGGACGAATGTTTAGAATTCTAGACTGAGTGTTCAGACTTGGCGTCTCGTCTATGCAGACGGATATTTAAAACTTGGTTTTAAAAAAAGTTCTCATTAATTAATGTAAGTATGAGATTCGTAGATTTCTAATTTTAAAAATTTTGTTGATGTGGCCCACGACATGAGCGTGGGAAATTAATATGGCCCTCCCGCCGAATAAGGCTGCGTATCGCTGGCGTAAATAAAACCATTAAAGCACTGACTGTTTTAAAAAATCAGTTAATGGAGTATTTGTCAACAACGGTCCATATAAAGACAGCACAGCAACAAGTGTTTAAAAAATCCTGGGTAACCATAAAAGGATAATCAATATTAGCTAACTTATAATGGACCTAATTCACCAATCGTAACAAACAACATTAACAAGTGTTTAAAAAATCCTGGGTAACCATAAAAGGATAATCAATATTAGCTAACTTATAATGGACCTAATTCACCAATCGTAACAAACAACATATATTCACGTGGTTCTCTATCTCTTCTAAACAAATTACGATCTAATTTTAATACATAATTGTTATCACGTGACAGTTTTTTTTCTCGTTGTTTTATCAATAGTATCACGTGACTAAATGTTGTTTGTTTACGATTGGTGAATGAGGTCCATTAAAAAACTGATAGATCGATTGGTAAATAATGGAGGGGGGGGGGGGGAATCGTGATGGTTGTGATCGGAAGTAGACCTAACCTTAGATCTTAGAGAAATGTTCCTCACATTTATTTATCTAATAGAATTGTAATACTTCCCTACCCCGCCACGGAAACGTCACCGATAGGCCTACTTTGACT